AAAACCCCCCCCAAATTCAAAATTCTTTGCATCAAAAATAGGCTTAAGGCAATGGGTTCCTACTTCACCTTTCCTATTATTGTAATGGAAGGTCTGAGTATGATGATGAGTAAGGCAAAGATTGCCCAACAACTTAGATATCACCATATTTTGTATGCGGATGGTACTCTAATTTTGTGAAATGCAGAGCTCCAACAGGTTCTCTTTCTAAGGGTCATCCTCCTCTTTTTTGAAGCAGTGTCCCAGCTTCCAATAAATCATTCCAAAATCACCCTTTTTCCTATGAATGAATTTCTTGATACACACTTCTTGTATTCCAGGATGCAAAATTGATTCTCCACCAACCAAATTTATGGGACTTCCACTTGGGGTACATACAAAGTTTAATTCTATTTCCATTTAGGATGATGTCCTTGAGAGGTGTCAAAAGAGATTTTCAAACTGGAAAAGGCAATATCTCTACTTGGGGGAAGACTAGGTCGCATCAACAATTTATTGGGCTCTTTGCCTATACATTATGTCCCTATTCCCAATGTCAATTTCAGTTTCAAAAAGGCTTGACAAACTACATAGGGAGTTCCTATGGCTGGGGCTGAGTACTATCTAACTTGGTGAGCTCCATGTCTTCCACAGTTGAAATGGAGGGTTCAAACTCCATCAGTAGCGTAGCAACCCCTTCCCCTCTCTGATGCAATAAGAGAATATTTATAATAAAAAGTTCTCTATGGCTTGGAAACAGGGAAAAGAGATCCTTTAACTTGGTTAAATGGAGCACCATTATATTGACAAAAATCAAGTGGATTGGGGGTAACGGACAGTGTTGTAAATAGCGAGCGCTACAGCGCTAATAGCGTGTAGCGAGGCGAGGCGAGACAGCATCGCTATTTTGGTCTGTTGCGTTGCGAGGAAGAAAAGGCGAGCGCCTCTGCATGTGTAGCGAGAGGCGCTGCGAGGCGTCGCTTTTTGAATAAAACGGAAGAAAAGGCAGCATTAATATTAAAACACAAAATTAGGGCTTGGGTTTCACTTTTCTCCTTCAGCGACGAGCAGCGACCTTCTTCTTCTCCTTCAGCGACCTTCGATCTTCTTCTTCTTCTTCCATCATCGATGATATCATCACCAGGTATGTTACTTTCTTTTCTTTTCTTCTTCTTCTCCTTTTTTCTTCTACTTTCTTCTTCCTCTATTTCAGCAGCGACTTCTTCNTGCGACAAGCAGCGACCTTCTTCTCCTTCAGCGACCTTCGATCTTCTTCTTCTTCTTCCATCATCAGCCATCATTACGAGGTATGTTACTTTCTTTTCTTTTCTTCTTCTTCTCCTTTTTTCCTCTACTTTCTTCTTCCTCTATTTCAGCAGCGACTTCTTCTTCTTTTTTCTTTTTCTTCTTCTTTCTTCTTTCTTCAATCATTCAATGATCGGGTCTTTCTTCTTTCTTTCTTCATTTTTCTTCTTCTTTCTTTGCTGATTTCCAGAGGCAGTAGCCTTTTTTTTTGCTCTGTTTTTCTTCTTCTTTCTTTGCTGTTAGTTTCTTCATTTTCCTTCTTCTTTCTTTGCTGTTTTCCAGAGGCAGTAGCCTTTTTTTTTTGCTCTGTTTTTCTTCTTATTATTAATATATTATTGTTATTGAGTTTTTAGTTATATGTATATAATATTTTATGTTTTTGTATAAATTGTCGCTTCACATCAAAAAGGCGAGCGCTTCGCTGCACGCCTCTCGCCTCAGTGAAGCGGGCCCTCGTCGCTATTTGTCGCCGCACGCTATCCAAAACACTGGTAACGGATTTATTTGAAGAGTCACAAGAAAGTCTACTTTGTAAATAGCTTTGGAGGTTTAATTATTAAGGCACTGCCCTTTGGTAAACGGTTATTGAGACCACACATAGTTTCTTTAGTTCTTGGGTGTCTCGTACAACTCCCTCCTCTCTTGGGTTGGGAACCTTTTTAGCAAACTCAAAATTTGAAGTAGGTAATGGTGCGAAGATCAAATTTTAGTTGGACTCTTGGCTTGGTCATTTCCACTCAAGATACCTTCCCGGAGCCGTTTAGTTTGACTTCTAAGTTCTAACCGTGTAGCCAAAATTGCTGATGTCAAAGACGTTCATTTAGAAGAAGCATTAACGATTGGGAACTTGAGAGTTTTCTTAATTTTCTGAATGCTTGACAGCTTTCCTCCTCCCAAATCAACCCTGGATCTCCTAAGATGGAAAGGAAATTACAAGGTTATTTTTACAGTAAAAAGTTGTTATGCTTTGCTTGAAAATTCAGTCCCTATCCCTCAATGGCCCTGGAAAATTATATGAAGAATAAGGCAGAGGCACCATTCAAAGTGAATTGTTTCACGTGACTAGTAGCTAATGAGGCTTGTCTTATCCTAAAGAAGCTACAAAGAAGGGATATCCGCTGTGCAATAGATGTTGTCATTGCAAGGAGAAGGAAGAGGATATTAATCACCTGTCTATCTGCTGCAAATTCACAAAGCAGCTACGGAATTTGGTTTTTAACCATCATGGATCTTCATTGGTGAATGCCCACCTCTATCTTACAGCTACTTTAAGGTTGGCAAAGAAAGAATTTGCACAAGACATCCTTCTCTAACTGGAGCACCATTCCAGGTGCTATCAGGTGGGCCATTCCGAAGGAAAGGAGCAACAGATCTTTTGAGAGCAAAGAAGATTCTATACTTGTACTTGAGCACAATTGTATATTTTTGCCTAGGGTTTGGTGTAACATGGGTCCTTCAGATGTAAATGATAGTTGTGACATTGTAAATTTCCTTAGCTCATTATACAACTTGTAATGGCCTCTCTATTTTGTATGCAACTTTTTAGAGCATTTACTTTTTGATGGCCAATCGATAAAAATTACTCTTTATCCATCAAAAAGAAAGTTCCTAATTGAGTATGTGTGCACACTGGCACTTCACTAGCTGACAGAAGCTTTAGAGTTAAATTGTAAAACTTCCCCGATAATACATTGTAAGTAACTAGAATCGGAAAAGTATCGATTTGGAAAATCCAAAACCCTAAACCCTGTGCATTCATACATTAAATCATAGTATTGCAATTTTAGATCTTAAAACAAGATACAAATCAACAAATCATGCATATAACAGCAAGAATAATTATGGGATGGTACAATGGTACTCCGACTTAAGATATTAAATTCCCCTCAAAAGCATAAATGATTAATGAATAAAACGAAATGCTACCTAGAGTCCTGAAGCTTAGGGGTAGATTTCTTCTCAACGCCAAGGACAACGGTATCAGTACCGCGGACGCCGACGGCGGCATTACCTTTACGTACGGCTTCGAGAGCGTATTCTACTTGGAATAGATGGCCGTCCGGCGAGAAGACGGTGATGGCTCTATCGTATCTAGCCATTGTTGGTTGTTAATTGTGAAATGTGCAGCTAGGGTTTGAGACTTTTGAGGTTCCTCTGATCACTACTGATCAATCAAAAGAGAGCACAGAGAGATCTTGGTGAACAAGCTACATGGCAATTGAAAAGAAAAAGAAAAAGAAAAAGGCAACCATTCAGACGGCGTCGTAACGGCGATATTTCTTACTGTGACGAGATTATTTTCATGAATTGTTTTATATAGAGTAAGTGTTTTTTGCTTTAGAAACTTTTTATCCAGATCATTTTATTATGTACAGTTTGGATATTAAAACTAGGCAATGTGAGGATGAAGATAAAGCTTTTTATGTAACTTTTTAGTAGTATCAATTGGTACGAAAGACAAGTTATACAAGAATTATAATTAGCTATGGAAAGATTAGTAATGCATGAATTAATAATACAAAGATTATTTTTTTGAAAGATTTGTAATACACGAATTAACAATATATAATTAGCTATGAAGAGATTAGTAATACATGAATTAGTAAAACAAGGATTATCTTTTGGAGAGATTAGTAATACATATTGTTTGGAGAGATTAGTAATACATAATTAGTTATAGAGTGATTAATACAAAATTAATTATGGAGAGATTAGTAATACATATTGTTTGGAGAGATTAGTAATACATAATTAGTTATAGAGTGATTAATACAAAATTAATTATGGAGAGATTAGTAATAGAAGAATTATTTTTTGTTGGGTATTTGGTTAATTGCACTAAAATTAGACATACAAGATATCCTTAAACATATTTATTTACTTTCTATATACTAAAAAGTAATGAGTTTGCAATTATACCCTTAGATGTTTGACTTTTATCGGCTCTAGAAAAAAGACAATGATAATTTTATCCTTTTGGTACTTTATCCTTGTAAAAGTTATACATGAATTATTTATTCTATGTTGTTGGTGATATAAAATAATATACCAATTGGTATATTAAATTATACAAGAATTAGTTATACATGATTCAAAAAGGAAAAATACATAAGTTAATCCCTAAACTTGTCCGAAAAACTCAATTTCACATTCTAACTTTATGTTGATTTTTTTACTCACTTATCCTTGTTTGGGTGGAACTAATACACCCTTACTAAGAGAATTTCAGATTCATGTTTGGTTGGTGTTATGCATGCGCTGACTTGTCTATAACTTAGGGGATAACTTATCTATTATGCACGTGCTAACTTCTGTATTAGTTCCACCAAAACAAGCGTAAGGGAGAGGGGTAAAAGATCACATGTAAAGTTAAAAGTGTGGAACTGAATTTTTCGGGTAAGTTTAGGGGTAACTTATGAATTATAAATCAAACATTGAATAAAGTTATAACGACATGGCCAATCGTTTTGTGTATTGTAGCCCAGTTCTCCTATTTATCACTTCTTCTATATTCATTTGTGGTTATGTGACTTGTCGGGGGGTGGATTGGTTTTGGGAATTATTCGGAGTGAATTGGGATACTTAGTCCCAAGGTTGAAGGCTTAAGTTGGAAGAGTTGACCGGAGTTTGACTTTTGTGTAGACGACTCAGGAATGGAGTTTTGATAGTTCCAACAGCTTCGTATGGTGATTTTAGACTTAAGCATGTATCCGGATATTGATTTAGAGGTCCGTAGGTTGGTTTGAGGCTTTTTGGCAAAAGTTGGAAAGTTGAAGGTTTGGAAGGTTGAGAGGTTTGACCGAGGGTTGACTTTGTCGATATCGGGCTTGAATTTCGGTTCCGCGAGTTGGAGTAGGTCCGTTGATTCATTTATGACTTGTGTACAAAATTTGTGGTCAATCGGGATTGATTTGAGATAATTCGAAATTAGTTTTAGAAGTTGGAAGTTCATTAGGCTTGAATCGATGTGCGATTCATTTTTTTGGTATTGTTTGATATGATTTGAGGCTTCGAGCGACTTCGTACTGTATTTTAGAACTTGTTGGTATGTTTGATCCGGGTACCGAGAGCCTCGGGTGTGATTCGGATGGTTGGCGGAACATGTTTGCACTTAGAGAGATGTCTGGAAGTTCTGTTACTTGATGTAATCGCACATGCAATGGTTTTGACGCTGGTGCGAGACCGCAGAAGCGGCATCTTGATTGTATAAGCGGAGGATGGCTGGAAGCGAGGAGATCGCAGATGCGTGCATGATTCCGAAAAGGCGGAGTCGCTTCTGCAAGGAAGGAACCGTAGAAGCGGAGGGACCGCATGTGCGAAGTATTTTTCGCATGAGCGGATGCGCAAATGCGGGGGCTTGACCGCATAAGTGGTACGTCGGGGACTTAAGTGGAATGCGTAGGTGCGTGATTTGGACCACAGAAGTGGAAATGGGTCGCAGAAGCGGGATCGCTGGACAGATTTTATAATCGAGGATTCGAGTTATTTCTCTCATTTTGGACTTGTGGAGCTCGACTACGAGCGATATTTGAGAGGGTTTTTGCTACAATTGAAGAAGAAGATTCATTACTTTTATTGATAAATATTGATTACCCATTGATTATTACACCTAGTTTATGTGAATTTGAAGTAAAATTTGGAGATTTTAGACTATGTTGTTGTAGAGTGAGATTTGGTGATTTGGGGGTCGATTTGTAAATAGAATTAGATGAAATTAGTATGGTTGGACTCGTAATTGAATGAGTGTTCGGAATTTGTAAATTTTTTAGGGTTCCGGGGTGTGCGCCTGAGGTTGACTTTTCAATTTTGATTAAAGATTCTAGTTTTATCATTTGAGATTGATTTCTATGGCTATTGTATTAAGTTGTTGTGACTAGATTCGAGTCGTATGGAGACCGATTCATGAAGCAGGGCTTTTTTTAGTATTGATTTGCGCGCTTTGAGGTAAGTAACACATCTAAACTTGGATTTGAGGGTATTTACCCTGAGAACTACGTTATATGAAAGATATTGGGGTGATGTACGCGCTAGGTGACATGCGTGTGTACGTGCACTAGTGTGTTCGTGGTTTGGGGAGGCCTTTAGGCTATTACCGGGCTTATTTTGCTATTATATCTTGTTATCCCCATGTTTTTCCTACTTGTTTAATCATTTTAACTATGATTCATCTTAGACGTCATGTCTAGGCTAAATGCTATTTGTTTGAGACTTTATTCTTGTTGTTTCAGAGCTATATGCCTTATTTGTATACATGTTCTCAGTCATGATGCTATCTCCGTGTATGATATCTCTGTCTCAGTACTTCTTATTTGATTCCTCACATGTTATTAATCCCTCTTATGTCTAACACTGTTAAACTGAGCATTTTGAGATTTGTTTATCTGAGACATGAACGGTAAATGACTGGGTTTGGGCCATAAAGCCAGTTTGGTATTGATTTTGAGGTGATGCATATGCCAAACCCATATTGGGCTAAGTGTTATTATTTTGGGGGGACACGTGCACCATGCCTCACTATTAGGATAAATAATTATGATTAGCGCTTGGGCAGGATCCGCCCCTCCGGAGTCTGACATGACAGCAGTGAGCGCAGGCACATGTTTTATATACGTGCTTTTATGATGGGCAGTTATGCCACGCACCTGTACCTAAGTGTGAATATTGATGGATCCACTGTGACATTATTGATTGGCATGTATGCATAGAGGTGTACCTTCTACATACTAGCTATTAAATAAAATGCTTTATCTGTGTTGAGCATTAATTGTTATACATGAAAGTATGTCTAAATTTCTGAAATGTGAACAAGCTGAACATGATATCATTGAGCTACTTATCTCTATGGTTTTTTCTTTATATTCTGAACTCTTACCGGTTATTGATATTGGCATTTGACTATTGTTCTGAGCCCGTCACTACTTTCAGCCCAAGGTTAGTGTTGTTACTTATGGAGTACATGGGGTCAGTTATACTCATACTACACTCTGCACTTCGTGTGCAAATCTAGGTACATCCGGTCGAGGTAATTTTCAGACTTGAGTTGTTGCCAGCTTTTGGGAGACTACGAGGTAGCTGATATGTCTTTCGCAGTCCTTGAAGTTCTCTTTCAGTTTTCTATCTCTACTATTCTATTGTTCAGACAGTTGTATTAGAGGATTTTGCTTATATCTTCTTATTCGATAGTGCTCGTGTACTCGTTGACACCAAATTTTCGGGATGGTTGTAGCATTATTATGGTTTTATTCTCATATGCTTTACGATATTTTCTCTTTTTTTGAGTTATTGAGCCATGATTATTTGATTTTATTATTATATGATTGTTGGCTTACCTAGTGGGTTGGGTTAGGTGTCATCACAACTAATAAATTTGGGATCGTGACAAGTTGGTATCAGAGCCCTAGGTTGCTTAGGTCTCACGAGTCACGAGCAAGTTTAGTAGAGTTTTGCGGTCGGTATGGAGACATTTGTACTTATCTTCGAGAGGCTGCCGAACTGTTAGGAAACTTCATTTTCTTGTATTCTTGTCATGCGCATTTGTTATTCCGAAGTTTGAACCTTGACTCTTCTATTCTCTCACAGATGGTGAGGACACGTGCGACCGGATCTGGCAAACGGCCACCAGTACAACCAATTAGGGTCGCAAGAGGCCGGGACCGCGGTAGAGGCCGAAGTGTGGATCGTAATACAGCCATTGCAACACTTGTGGAGCCACCAGTCGCTCCAGCTAAGGAGCAGGTACCATGGGTTGTTGAGCAGGCGGGGCCAACTCAGGCACCAGTAGTGCCTATCGTTATTCCTGGCCTTTAGGAGACCTTAGCCCAGATTTTGACTGTGTGCATGAGCCTGACTCAGGAGGTTTCGGTTCCAACTACACCAGCCAATTCACAGGCTAGGGGAGGTTCCCCGACTCCCGCCACCTGTACTCCAGAACAGCTAGCTCAGGGACTCCAAACACCGAGTGTACTACCAGTTCAGCCGGCTACTGCTGCTCGGGCCGAGGTTGGTCCACCTATGAGTGATGAGGAGCAGAAGAGATTGGAGTAGTTCGGGATGCTTAAGCCTTCAGAGTTCAGCGGGGAGGAGTCAGAGGATGCTCAGGACTTCCTAGATCGGTGTTAGCGGATTCTTCAGACAACGGTTATTTTGGACAGCAGTGGAGTTGCATTTACCACATTTCAACTGACAGGGGTAGCCTATAGATAGTGGCAGACCAGTT